ACAACCTACACCTTTTGGATGGATGGATGGACAACCTACACCTTTTGGATGGGATTGACATCTTATGCTCTCCATTACTTGTCAGTTGTGGGAAAGAAAGTGATAGACTCAAATCAAACATCATGCTGGCCTTCTCTTGCCATTCTCATTTTACGTAGTAATTTACATGAATGATTTACCCAATGAACAGCTGTAGATGCGAGTGGTTAATGTAGATAGCCCACTGACAAAAGTACAGTCTGTTTTGATGCGTTTAATAATAAACTGGATGATCTCTGTGCTGCATCAATTACCAACAGGATATCAGGAACTGTAATATCCTTTGTATAACTGAAACTTGGCTAAATCCTGGACAGCGCCATTTAATAAGGAGGACAGAGCAGAGGAGTCTGGCAAGAGAAGGAGAAAAGGTGTGTGCTTTATGGTGAATAAAGACTGGTGTGACAATGGGAATATGAGCTGCTGTCCGGTTCCTGCTTGCCCTATGCCACAATGGGAATAAACACTCTGAATCACTGCTAAATGCTGTTCAGAGGTGGTTGCAGAGCAGAGTTACTGCCCGTGTTGCCTGTCTGAAATGGAGCATCAGATTCTGGAGGACGTTCCAGGACACCCCCATCGACCTCATCAATGATCCCCATGAATATACTGAGTATGTCATGGATTTAATTTGTAAAACAACAGAAGCAACTGAACATAAAACTACAGTCAAATCATTCCACAACCATAAACTATGGATTACCGGAACAATCTGGGATGCAATAAACATGCACCAGTCTGGATACAAAGACAATTACAACGCAGCAGCCTACAGTGTAAGAAGAGCCAAAAGTTGTTTCTCAGTGTGTCACATTTCATCAGAGCCCAAAGCTATGATTTAACATTCAAGCATTCAAGACTAGTAGCTATTTTATCCTGTGTATGTGACCATGGATAGCAAGGATCCTTGGGAGTCTCCAGATGGCCTTTGTCTGAAAAGGCTTAGACATACCTTTAGAAAGATGTATAGAATATTTATGTTCTGTTGTTTTGTTATCAAATTTAAACTTGGACTAGGTAGGCATCATGCTGTGGTCCCATTGTGTTTTCCAGTTAAAGTCATTTGCAGGCATCTGTTTTCAAGAATTGCCAACTGTACGCTGATGATACTGTCATCCGTGTCTCTACTAAAACACCTAGTCTGGCTGAACAGCAACTAACACAAGCCCTATCTAACATCAACAACTGGCTGGAGGAGTCTCACTCAACATTAAACGTAAAGAAAACCATTTCCATGTGCTTCTCAATTAAAAAACAGATGTCCACTGGCACATTTAAGGTACATATTAACAATCAAATAATAGAACAAGTAAATGAAACAAAGTATTTGGGTATCATTCTGGACAATAATTTAAAATTCCAAAGTCAAGTTAAAAACATATGTAAAAAGGTCAAAACAAACCTGCTTCCGCTTCATCAGAAGAGACTTGTCTGCTCATGCCACAATGATTTTTTCCACATCTGTCTTACTGCATCACATCATGGTCACAAACTTCATCTACCACAATGAAACCTGTCATCTCACTTTACAAACAGACAATCAAAGTAATGGACAAGAAACCAATAAGATGGCATCACTGTGAAATCATAGAAAAACACCAACTTTTCACCTTTGAAAACTTTGTAAATTTTAGTATACTCAAACTTTTTTTAAATGTCTGAATAATTCAATGTCATCATTGTTCTCTGCTCTGATCACCAGACGTCAGAACTCTGACAGACTGGCCACTCGAGGCTCTGTCAGGGGGGGGACTGTATTATTCCAATGTTTAAGACCTCTTTTGGACAGTCCAGCTTCTCTGCTAAAGGAGCCAGACTTTGGAATTCGCTTCCCAGCGAGTTGAGGATGGAGACTGATCCTAACATCTTTGGCAGGGACCTCAAAAAATGGCTTAAGTCTGGACAGAGTTGCTCACATGAAGATTTAGATGTTTAATATCGAAACCTTATTAACTTATCTGTATTTTATCTACCTTCTTGTATTTTATCTATCTTCTTGTATTTTATCTACCTTCTTCTATTTTATCTCCTTTCTTAAAAGCCTCCTGTGGACAAGTGTTGAGAATTAGCACTCCTGCTAAAACACTTAAAGCAATGCATCTGGTTTGTCCAATGTTTTTGTGAGGTCCATATCAAATAAACGAATAGATAAATAAAATAAAGTATTTGGGCATTTTGGGCACCCTACCACTTTAGTGTGTTCAGACGTATATCAAGTATATGTTCAGACATATACTTGACAGTATTATCTTTCAAAAGAGATCACAACCATGCATGTACTCCAAGTGGTTCAAGAACACATTTCACTTTGCTTTGTGTATGCCTTGGAGAAGCATTTGTCCATTTACACAAAAAATCCAAATTATAAACTAAAGCTCATTATTACTGTCTTTAGCTAAGATTAAATACTGGTGAACTGGTTTATCGCTGGAAACAAACCCCTGCACTAGTGGTATCTGCTTGAACTATCTGGTTTCTATACATGAACAGCTGCCAACAACTGGAAGCAAGAATTTTCAGTAGCAGACAATTTGTGGTTTTTAGTTTGAGTTATATGAGCTGAAATTATTTTTTGAGAAACAACAGTGTATTCATCCATCTGTTCTTTTGTGCAGCATCACCAGCTATGAGGCAGGTTGGTTTTGAGGTTTTGCTCTCTGTACAGGCAGTACCAAGCGTAACTGCAGCTCTGTGCAGTCTCTGCACTTTGGCAAGAAATAGTTCCTTTTGTGTACAAAGGAAACACACAGGATACCACTTGGAGCTTTAGACGTGTTGATAGGCATATTTTTTGTCTTAGCCCAGAGCCAGGCTGTTTCTCCCTGCTTCCAGTCTTCATGCTAAGCTAGGCTAATAACTTCCTGACCCCATGTCTGTACTAAACACACAGACATGAGACTGACAAACATCTGAACATCTCACTTTCAGAAAGAAAGTAAGGAAGCATATTTCACCCAACAGTGAACTCCTCTTTTAACGACTTGAGTTCTTTCAGTATGTTGTGTATTATAACTGCAACTGTAAATAACAGTGTCTCCACCTCATTTTCTTTCTATTCTCTTCCTTAAAGATTGGTTTCTTGTTATTTATTAGAGGTTCTGTTGCCAGAGCCGATCACATGCATTTAGAATGCAGGCCTACTACAGTCTGTTATGTAACATGTAATGCCCAAACACGTGTAAGATTGTACCTCGCTGTGGAATAACATCAGCTGAAGACTGAACTGGGACCAGAATTCACATCTCTATGAGTTAATTCAAATGTTTATGGCCTACATGCTTGCCTCTCTCACTGATGCACTGCTTCCATTGCTCAATGAAAATAGATGCATTGATTTTTATGGCGCAGGGACCCTTGGTTACTGATGGTGGAGCTCTGCCATTAACAGGATCTCCAAGCTGCGATTGGAGCAGGCTGCTCCCCAAACTGCTCTCATTGGCTGCTTCCACAAATACACTCTCCTCATTACATACAACGCTCCAACCTCCTGTGCAAAGGAGGGGGAGCTAGAGGGTGTGGACCAGGGTGTGTAAGCCCTATACCCTGTCTTACAGGCTCAATGTTTCAACATATTTGTTGAGCTTGGCTATATTGTTCCCTTTCGATCTGTTGTGCTCATCACAGGATTTTGATATTAGACAGTGTGGAACATGGGAAACGTTTTCAGTGCAGCCTGTACATACCACTGGAGTATATTGACAAATGACAAATGGGCCAGTATGTTTTGATATGTTATACATTGTTTAGTGTTCAACGATGTAGCCTATTTACAAAACAATTTACAGTTAATAGTATTAGTCCACAGTAAAGCGAATACTGCACAAAAATAAACCACTGCAAAAAACTGCCAAAAAAGTGTGTGTGTGTGTATGTAATATATTTTCTGTTGACTAATACATCATTTAAAAAAATAATAAAAAAAAATGGAGTCTTTTCAATTACAATCTATTTATTAATTGTAGTTAAACACAGGGATGTAAATATAGACAATGCAGGCAGTGCGACTGCACTGGGATCCCTGGGGTGGAGGGCCCATAGAGAGAACAGGCCCTTGCAAGTGATTCAGATTGCCACCTTGGAAATATACCTGTGTTCAAAGATTAATAATAAAAAAATAATATTATTAATTTAAAAATGGTGCCATTTGCTATATATGTCCTCAAAAGGCAAGACCATCTGCGTCATTGTTTTGTTTTTTCTTTTTACTTTATAAAATATTTATCCATTCATTCATTTACCGTAACTGCTTCTCCTGTTAACGGTGGCAGAGGGGCTAGAGCCTATCCCAGCTGACAATGGGCGAGAGTCGGGGTACAACCTGGACAGGTTGCCAGACTATCACAGGGCTAACATATGGAGACAGACAACCATTTACCCTCACATTCACACCTACGGGCAATTTAGGGTCACCAATTAACTTATCCTGCATGTCTTTTGGATTGTGGGAGGAAGTACTATCTAAACATTTAAATAGTGCTATCTAAAACAAAATTATATACTTTTTCTATATAAGCCATTAAAATCTATAAATATACTATAAAAACAATTCCGTTAGATGATTAATTTCTTTGATATTTTTGTGAGATATGCAGTGATGATTGCTGGGTAATATGTATGTTGATGTTGCCCAATGTCAGGTGTCTATTTGTGTTAAGCTAATACATGCATGATAGCATGCACTAGGGCCCATCATGATAGTGTGCTCTGGGGCTCATTGTAACTTCCTTAGGCCACTGGTTAAACACCATAACAATTGAGCCTGAAATTTCATTCTTGGTCTTCAAAACAAACAAACAAACAAACAAAAACAAAAAAGTAAAAATTAAAGGTAAAATCTGACATAGTTCAATAGCTATATTTTTGCCCGGTGGTTTGACCGTGTTCCTCGATCTGCTGAGGACAGAAGGGATCATGCATATTGCGCCTCCTCTGACTGCCTGTCAGACAAGGCTGAGGGCGAAGAAACCAGGGTGCACCGTTTGCTTTAGGTACCCAAACACATTGTTAAAAGCCGTCTGATAACGCTTATGAATTAGCACTTTGTTTATCTGAAGCTTGAAAGGCATAGTGAGCAGTGAGCATCTGCTTCCCACAGGATCTTTTCTTCTGCTGGTTGATCTGAATAGAGCGGTGAGTGACTGTGTTGCCTCCGTGAACATCACTGGAAGCTGCTGCTGGTAGACAATTTGTTGACATTTTTTCACATTGAGCGCCATTTGCAGACAGGTACACTTACCGCCACTTTTATTGTTCCCACTATCAAACGCACTGGGTTTCATTGTGGAACAAAGAGTGCAGGGAAACCAGGAATTGTTTGTAGAAGGTGTTTAAATTATATATTGACTTGTGATATTAGATGTTAGAACGTAATGCCTGTCATGTTGTGGTCATTAGGTCTTTGGAAACAGCGATACTTTTAAGATTTTTCCTCCAGAATGATTGCACTGAAACGATCAGTTGTAGCTAATGTTGTAAATGACTTGGTGTATTAGTCATCAGAATGCCCGTCACTCTCCTCGAAGGTCTCTTGTGGCTGCGGTAACGCTGTATTTTATTAAACGCTGATTGATAGAGTGGGAGCAGAGGTGAATCGGTGTCATCTGGTTTGTCAGCACATCATAGAATCATAATGGAGACTGTTGACTGTGTACAGTCAGCAGGGTTGCTTTTAGACAGCGGAGATCAGGGGCCTGTGCCCTGAAATCTTTGAATGAATCCTGGGTCATGCTTTGATACATTAATATTGCAACACAATATGCTAAATAATTGCTATATTATAACTATTATCAGTACTACTTCAAATGCACAGTAAACTGGCAAAAAACGGGTTGTGTTTCCTTGAACATATCAAACTAATTAAAACTAAGATATATTTAAAACAAAACATCATCCAAGCTTGTAATCTGAATGAATTGGCATTTTCCCCTTAGATAATTAAGTTGGTTATAGAACAATAGATTCAAAAAGAAAAATGAACAGAATTTAAAAAGCCAGCTAGGCCACATTAGCATAATTAAACAAGCTGCCAAATTTGATGGGATGTGCCAGTTTATCGATATACAACAACTCATTTGACTGACCACAGAGGAAGTTTGCCTTGTTTTGCCATAAGAAAGTAAGCAGACCTTGAGTGGAGGTGTTTTATCAATAATTTGCGTTGGGCTGTTGAACTAAATTTAGTTTCAATTGACATAATAGAAAATGAAGAACTGGGCCTTTAATTAAAAGCTGCAGAAGCACTGAAGTGTACTAACTGTGTCAGAGCGTTATGGTATCCTCAGGAGTTGGACATTTATATCCACTTTTTTCCCTACCTAATTTTAATGATCATCAAGTCTCTTCTGTATTGAAATTAACATCATATGCATGGATACTCTTATCGTGATGGCCCACCAGCAGATGGAGACATGAAATACAATAGCCTACTTTACAATGTAGGCTATGTAATTCATTCATGCATTTCTTCATTGTGCAAAATAAGAAAAAGCTTTGCTGAGTCTTTATTTTAAAGCCAAAATCGGACGATACAGATGACATGCCAATATTATCCTTCAAGTTGTGCTGTTGTGTGGTGATACACACAGCAGCACAACTTTAACATCTAATTGTCATTTCAGCTCGTACACATTTAATCCAATCATGACGTGCATCACACCTCCCCTGAGGTGAGTGCGAAAATGGTCTAATGTGAGATAGAGCCTTATTGGGTTTTACTGTGGTGGGTAAGGCAGCACAAATGTCCAACTCCCGAGGATACCATAACGCTCTGACACAGTTAGTACACTTCAGTGCTTCTGCAGCTTTTAATTAAAGGCCCAGTTCTTCATTTTCTATTATGTCAATTGAAACTAAATTTAGTTCAACAGCCCAACACAAATCATTAATAAAACACCTCCACTCCAGGTCTGCTTACTTTCTTATGACAAAACAAGGCAAATTTCATCTGTGGTGGAGGCTGTGTGACACAACTGAAAGCTCCAGAGCAAGGAAGTAAGTGGAAATTGCTTTGTCAGCTACATTTATGTAGTGAATTTGGTAGGGGTGGGGGGAAAAATCGATACGGCATAGTATCGCAATATTTTTGTTTGCCAATATTGTATCATTACATGGATGCCAAGTATCGTTTTTTTTATTATATAAATTATTAATATTTCAAATACAAATTAAACCTGTTATAGCCTACGAGAATAATATAACAGGTGCTTTTTCAGTTTACCTGATACATATTGTTGCAATAAAAATGGCTAAAGTCAAATGAAAGGACCTAAAACTTCATCTTATTAGATAAAACAGATTTTGACAACGTTTTCCTTTGGGGACATCATTTACAGTTCAAAAAAGGTAATAGCAATATATTGCAATATATTTTTTTGCAATACTCAGTATATCAAAACATGTTTAAAGTTGCAATAATATTGTATTGTGACTTGCGTATTGTGATAATATCATATTGTGGGGCCTCTGGTGATTCCCACCCCTAAAAATTGGTAATTGGTAAGTTTTGTAAGTGATGTAAACAAATATAGACCAAATGCATCTGCTGTTGTACTTGTTCCTGTATGATCAGAGGGGTATTCCAGAAAGCGGGTTTAGTGAAAACTCTGAGTATGTTAACCCTGAAATGAGGGAAACTCTGGGCTTTCAGTTCCAGAAAGAGAGGTAAATCAAACTCTGAGTCAATCACCATGGCAACTGAGTCTGTGAACCTAAAGGCCCATTTATGCTTAACGTTAAATATGGATACGGACGGAGCCTTCTGTCTGTGCTCCGCGTTCATTTTGTCCGTATTTCTACACGTTTCCATAAAGCTTAGGGCTCATTTATGCTCCCTTTACGTACGAAAATGTATACATCCGTTTCAAATGATGTTACCGTCACTGCCCACATACTTTCATGCGCCCTTTACGTTGGCATGGATGTTAACCAATATATCCATCAGGAGGCAGCCCAGCGTCAAAAGTTTATGACAACAACAAACTCAAAAACAAACATGGCGACTGTGGAGGAGATATTGATAATGTACCTCTTGCATAAAAGACAAAAACAGGGGCAGCGTTGTAGAAGGCGGTGGTCGGTGAGACCGTTAAATACATCGCGACTGGAGGACGGAGAATTCTTTTCTCTAGTACTGCCGAAATTGAATTTTTATTTCTTCTTCGTGTCTCACTAGCGCTATGTAGGGTAGTGACAGCAACACTGCCCCCGCGGTTCCCGGTGGTACTGCTCCGTTTGGCCCATATCCGTAAGCTTTATGGAAACGTGCAGAAATACGGACGAAATGAACGCGGAGCACGGACAGAAGGCTCCGTCTGTATCCGGATCCGTATTTAACGTTGAGCATAAATGAGCCTTTACAGATACGGGCCAAACGGAGCAGTACCACCGGGAACCGCGGGGGCAGTGTTGCTGTCACTACCCGATACGTAGCTCTAGTGAGACACGAAGAAGAAATAACAATTCAATTTCTCTCATTGGCAGTACTAGAGAAAAGAATTCTCTGTCCTCCAGTCGCGATGTATTTAACGACCTCACCGACCACCGCCTCCTACAATGCTGCCTCTGTTTTTGTCTTTTATGCAAGAGGTACATTATCAATATCTCCTCCACAGTCGCCATGTTTGTTTTTGAGTTTGTTGTTGTCATAAACTTTTGACGCTGGGCTGC